AATCCCAGAAGAGAGAGACCGAGGCAGCCTGGCGCAGGCAGGGAAGGCTTCCTGGAGGAGGGGGCGGCAGCGTTGAGATGGGTTTTGAGGGACGCGTAGGAGTTCAACAAATGCCAAAATAGAGACAGAGACACCGAGGCAGCCTGGCGCAGGCAGGGAAGGCTTCCTGGAGGAGGGGGCAGCGTTGAGATGGGTTTTGAGGGATGTATAGGAGTTCAACGAATCCCAGAGGAGACAGAGAGATCGAGGCAGCCGGGCGCAGTCAGGGAAGGCTTCCTGGAGGAGGGGGCAGCACTCAGATGGGTTTTGAGGGACGCGTAGGAGTTCAACAAACACCAGAAGAGACAGAGAGACCAACGCAGCCTGGCGCAGTCAGGGAAGGCTTCCCGGAGGAGGGGGAAACATTGAGACGGGTTTTGAGGGATGAGTAGGAGTTCAACGAATCCCAAAAGAGAGAGACCAAGACAGGCGGGCGCAGTCAGGGAAGGCTTCCTGGAGGAGGGGGCGGCGTTGGGATGGGTTTTGCGGGACGCGTAGGAGTTCAACGAATGCCAAGAGAGAGAGAGAAAGACCGACACAGCCTGGCGCAGTCAGGGAAGGCTTCCTGGAGGAGGGGGCAGCACTCAGATGGGTTTTGAGGGACGTGTAGGAGTTCAACGAATGCCCGGAGAGAGAGAGAGAGATCAACGCGGCCTGGCGCAGTCAGGGAAGGCTTCCTGGAGGAGGCGGTGGCGCTGGGATGGATTTTGAGGGACGCGTAGGAGTTCAATGAATCCCAAAAGAGAGAGACCAAGGCAGCCTGACGCAGTCAGGGAAGGCTTCCTGGAGAAGGGGGCAGCACTCAGATGGTTTTGAGGGACGCATAGGAGTTCAACAAACGCCAGAAAAGAGAGAGAGACCGACACAACCTGGCCCGGTAAGGGAAGGCTTCCTGGAGGAGGGGGCGGCGTTGAGACGGGTTTTGAGGGACGCGTAGGAGTTCAACGAACGCCCGAAGAGAGAGAGACACACACACAGAGACCGAGGCGGCCTGGCGCAGTCAGGGAAGGCTTCCTGGAGGAGGGGGCGGCGCTGAGAAGGGTTTTGAGGGATGAGTAGGAGTTCAACAAACGCCAGGAGAGAGAGAGAGAGACCGACGCAGCTGAGCACAGTCAGGGAAGGCTTCCTAGAGGAGGGGGCAGTGTCGAGACGGGTTTTGAGGGACTCGTAGGAGTTCAACGAATGCCCGAAGAGAGAGAGACACACACAGAGAGACCGAGGCGGCCTGGCGCAGTCAGGGAAGGCTTCCTGGAGGAGGGGGCGGCGTCGAGATGGGTTTTGAGGGATGCGTAGGAGTTCAACGAACTCCAGAACAGAGAGAGAGAGACAGAGAGGCCAACACAGCCTGGCGCAGTCAGGGAAGGCTTCCTGGAGGAGGGGGCGGCGCTGAGATGGGTTTTGAGGGACGCGTAGGAGTTCGACGAACGCCAGAAAAGACACAGAGAGACCAACGCAGCCTCGTGCAGTCAGGGAAGGCTTCCTGGAGGAGGGGGAAACATTGAGACGGGTCTTGCAGGACGCATAGGAGTTCGACAAACGCCACAAACGCAGGCTGCTGGGATCCGGGGCCGACTGGAAGCTTCTCCCGCAGGTCCAGACACAATTCCAGTTTTTTTTAATCGCCCTCCCCTTGTAGCCCTGAGGTCGGGGAGGGACAAGGAGGGACAGGTGACAGAGCACGGGGACAATTTCACACGACCGTGACGAGCAAGCCTTGTTCCTTTAGGTCCCGGGGATGGGCTGTCCCCTCCAGACGGGGTCATGGGACTTCAGCCCGTCCCGTTTGCAGAAATCCAAAGCCGTTGTTGCCCGGAGGCCAGAAGGAAAAAAAAAAAATTAGAGGCCACAAGGAGGGTGGCCACGACAATCGGGACCCCGGGGGGCTGGTGGCCGGCGTCTCTTGCATCTGGACATTGCATTTGAGGGAAGCTTCTTGAACCCAGGATGGGTTATGCCAGGCCCGGCGTGGAGGCTCGAGACTGTCATCCCAGCTACTCGGGAGGGAGGCCGAGGAGGGAGGATCGCTCAATTGGGGTCAGGAGGTGGAGGCCAGCCTGAGC